TTTTCGTTGTGTGCGAGAGATATAGTATATATATATATATATATATATATATATATATCTCAGAAGTAGATAATAGGGATCTATATATAGGGCCCGACATATTTCTCCATTCGTCTTTCAGCTGTCACCATGGTGAATCGTTGGCGTTTTGCAGCTGTGCAGAACGAACGCCAACCGCGCAATACGGCTCAGGTGAGACTCGAGCACCTGCAAATGGACGCCGTTGACGGAGAACGCCGCCTGAGGGAGCCATCGTCGTCGACGGTCTCTGCGCACGACACGCTCGTGAGTCCCAGCACCAATCACCGCTTCATGGTATCGCTGATGACAGCCGAAAGTTACGCCAAGCTAGACCCCCACGACGGTAAACACTATAGCCTCGTCTACACGGAGTCACATTAACCAGAGTTAAGCTAACCCGAGTTAACACTTAACCCGAGTTCAAGAAACACGCATCGTCTACACGGAGTTTGTCTTAACCCGAGTTAAGCTAACCCGAGTTAACACCTAACCCGAGTTATAGAAACACGCATCGTCTACACGGAGTTTGTCTTGACCCGAGTTAAGCTACCCGAGTTAACACTTAACCCGAGTTAAAGAAACACGCATCATCTACACGGAGTCGCCTTAACCCGAGTTAAGCTAAGCTAGCGGGAGCTAACGGGAGGCGGGGTTGACTGCGGTATTCTGTCTACTGATAACTACCGCTTAACTCGAGTTAACGATTTCGCGCGCGTCTACAGGAGTCTTAACCCGGGTTAGCTTAACCCCCTTCATCGCGAAGGGTTAAGCTAACCCGGGTTAAGGCTTAGCCCGGGTTAGCTTATCCCGAGTTAATACCTCGTAAGGACGATGCGCATGCGCCGGTATCTTTCGATGTTGTACAACAGTAAAGGATGTTCATAGGCAGCAGGCCTGATCAAGCATCGAACAGAAATTAATTAAAACTACTCAGAGAGTTTCGGTGCGAACGCGACATACACTTTATTCATGCTTAATGACTACCTACAGATTCAAGTTCCAGCCTTCACTCGAAACTTTTGCCAGATTGTTTTCGAGATTTTTCGGCATGTAGTCGGATTCCGTTTCAAACACAAAAATAGAGGTTCGGTCACCAAGGTTACGCCACTTGACGCTGTGGCACAATTACACAACAAGACAAATCTCACTCCTCATGCTTTCTAGACGTCCACAAGGCATCTACCTGCGTGCATATGGCAAATTACTGCATTCTAGTGACGAAGTTTACCGCCAAAAAATTCAAAAGACGGCCTTTTCCAGAAACAAAATAGTGCAAGATTGGTAAACAATTGGCGGAAGGCTACTGTTGTATGCCACCTTATATCGTATGCAGATTACATGATGTTGTTACAGCCCAGCCAACAACCTTATTTCCACTTTCTGATTGGCGGATGATGTCATAGTGCGAGTAAAAAGGCTCACTAAGGAAGCAATATTTTTTTTATAGCTGTCTGTTAAGCAATGCTGATAACGTAACTAGAGACAAAACAAGAAAAGCTATGAAGCAAAAAAGTACAAATGGTTGTGTTTGATATAGTACGAAAAAACCTGTTTACGGTATTGTAGGCAAGAAGTGCATGTTATGTCTGATGAGGAATAAGGGCGAGATAGAATCTCGACATAGATCTAAGAGGATAGAGAGCGTGAGCAAAACGATTTTGATCTACCGAGTTTTCCCTACTATTTACAATGACAAAGCGTGTGTATTTACCTTTGTCCGTTTTTTTCTAGCGAACCACTTAATGATAAAGACCCGGCCGAATCCGACAAAAAATGAAATCGTAGAATATGAAGAAGAGAAAAGAATTGAAAACACACTTTATCGTACACAATACGATGAGTAATAGATAGATATCAAGCCAGCCAATGGCCCACCATAAAAACATTCACACCGTGTAGACTTAATTATTATTATTATTATTATTATTATTCGATTGTTAATTAACTTGAGATGAATTCTTGGCGTTAGAAACCATATATGCGCGTCTTACACTGTCTTCGTCTCACATCACGAAGCATAACGACTGTAGCAGGGATCCATGCCTAATTAATCGATTTATCTCGGCCATTTAACTTTTAGCGTTTACAATAATCGAATGATCTTTTCCCGAGAGGGGATGGACCGCCAGTTCGCTTTGTAAATGTCACGTGATGTTGTGGAGATGAGGGTTAGGCGGGGACGCCTACGCGACGCACAGTCGCTCAATACAGCTTATACTTTAATTTATTTGCAAATTCCTTTGAGACGAAGCAAATTAGTGTTTAATGTGATTCTATGTGGCTCCCATTGACGAATTTGATATATCGTGACTACGCAATCTGAATGATAACGTTTGGTCATTTGACAAGGCTGTCCCTAGACAGTCCGCTGCCAGAATTCAAACGAGTGGAATAAAGGAGTTAATGAATTTTGTATAACATTAATCTGTAATCTTGGTAGATAAATAGATTATCTTGATGCATAGAAATTATCGGACGAAGCTCTGCCGCCCTGCGCATGCCGTCTGTCTGTGTAGGTACAGTGTAGCAAGTGTGCACTGCGCAATTGAATTCGTTACAATGGAAATAATTTGCTATCAACCTAGCGGTTGCTGCAGCTAGCGTGTTGTCATGTATTATATATCAGCATTATATACTTGCTGGGGGTAATATTAGTTTAATAATATGTCATATTTTTTTTTGAAGAGTAGACAGACAGACACGCACACGCGCACACACAACACGTACGCACACACCGCACTTATGCACGCACACTCTACGCGCATGTATGTACGCATAGTAGACGCACGTATGCACGCACGCACGCACGCGCTCGCACACACCACACGCACGCACAACATCACACGCACATATGTACGCATAGCATACGCACGCACGCACGCACACACGCATGCGCATATGAAGACAACACATCACACCGTGCACGGAGCTTTCGTTGCGATAAAATGTCGGCCGCGTTTACACCATGGTTGGAGTGATAGCCATTTTCTCGTTTTGGCAGACGAGCATCACGTGGACGTGGCAGGCATGGACAGCGACGCAGTTCAGCCTCACGCCGCTCCGGAAGCGGCGCTCTACCCGACCGGACATGAGAACGTGTATGAGTCATCGGCTCGTCTGTTGTTCATGGCTATCCGCTGGGCAAAGAACCTCCCGTCGTTCTCCAGCCTGCCGTTCAGGGATCAGGTATAGCGCATGCTGATCTTACTACAACTCCACGGCTCTTTATTAAATATAATTACAACGTACACAATACAAACGTAATTAAACACGCATATCCGTATATACATGCGATCACAATTAATCCGTCGTTTTCATGGACACACCAATGGCCGCTGAAAAGTAATACCATGGACAGACTGCAAATCCGATTCCAGATCAAGCTGCCCCGGACTAATATCGTGCGAGAATTCAAGCGGAACGCAGTCATCGCCCTCTTATTTTTGCCGTGCAAAAATATTTTGCTGTCTATAATGTTGTAGCGTGACTTGTCCAAATCAAGACCGATCACTTCACATTCTGCAGGCTGTAAATATAGGCTGAATTTTTTTATATAACAAATTGCTGTCAGATAGATATAAGTCATGAGAAATTGCATCTACGGGGGTTCTTTTTTTTAAATACCGGGGGAAGAGACCCCAGATCCCCCGCCACGGGCTTCACAACCTCACTGCTCGCAGAGCGTGCCCTCCTCCCAATCGTAGATCCGCCCCTGAAATCGTACGCACTGTCCGGAACAAAATACGCGTTATAACCCGGTCTAAGTTTGCACTCTGTTCCCACCTAATTAAGGTGGGTTATGCACGCTTCACAATAAGATTTATTTCTCCGTACTGTACTCTCCGTAATGTATGGCGCGATAGGCTAATCTGAGCATGCGCAGAGTAAGCGGGCGATAAAGCTGAAGATTTTTCCTCGCGCTAATATATATATATATATAACACTGTGCTAGCATACAGGTAAACATGTGGCTGGACTTCTAGGATCTATCTTGACGATATTAGTGACGATTCAACATCGTCATGATCATGAGAGTCGATATTCAATATATATCCTCTAGATAACATAACATAACAAGCCTCTTTCTTAGTAAAACAATTAGGAGCGATTACTTTAATTAGCCAATTAACTAATTAATTAATTAATTGCGATCTAACCGCTTGTGATCATCGTAACCACGTCACGCGCGCGCGCGCGCGCGGGCGTGTGTGTGTGTGTGTGTGTGTGTGTGTGTGTGTGTGTGTGTGTGTGTGTGTGTGCGTGTGTTTGTTAATACGCTATTGGCCGCTAGCGTTTCCGCTTGTCTTCGCATCAAAGGCGCCACCTACTCGGTAAGCAGACGATAAACGGCATCGGTTTCGCCCGCCCGCCCACACTGCCACCGAGACCCGTTACTGCTCTCGTCGTCGTCGTCGTCGTCGTCGTCGTCATGAGCCGGTCGCCGCACGCCAAGCGAGACATCACTTCCGCTCTAATCCGACCTTTATAGCCCTGTACGCCATCAAATCACGATGAGCCTGATTAAGCGTGCCCCTAATTGATTTCTGAGAGCGAGCGCGTAATCTTGCCGCCTCGCCAGGCGGCTTACGGCTGTCAGCTTGTTACACAAATTGCTACAATTGCCATCCGTCAGGAAATCAAAGTGGAAAATGTTACTCGTTATTCCATTATTTTCGCGTTTAATCGCATAACCGTTTAATCTCGCAATTACTCGCATTCTGATTAGCGCCGCATAATGACTACCCTCAGCGACCTCGGTCCGCCCGCCCCACCCTACCACCGAGCGGACGAGCGTCGCCGGTAGCAGGTTAGAACCCAGGAATCCTCCCGTGAGCGTCGAGCTCGGTTGCAGACGAGGAAGCGAGGCGCTGACGTCACAGCTCCCGCGCGTGCGTCGCGACCGCTTTGTCTGCAACGTCGCCGGCGGCTCGATATTTGCTTGCTTTAATAATTTAGCTAATTAAGCGCCGCAATCTTTGATTACGAGCGCGGCTCTGTAGAGTGCTGTGAGGAAACCAGTCGTTTAACGTGCCCCTATACGTCGTTATTTGTTCCACGCACGTAAACACGACTCCCTGTCATTAGCAAATTTGATGACAATTCCTTCGAAACCTTGTTATTATTTACGAGAAATAACTATAATTCGTGACATTTGGAAAAACAATCGGAATCTAATTAAGATTCTTGTTGTTGGCGTAATGTGTGTGTGTGTGTGTGTGTGTGTGTGTGTGTGTATATATGTGTGTAAGTGCGTGCGTGCGTGCGTGCGTGCGTGCGTGCGTGCGTGCGTACGTGCGGGCCTGTGCGTGCGTGTGCGTTGGTGTGTGTATAATAAAAATACCTCATGTTTGACGTGAAGGCGTTTATTTTACAGGTGATTCTGCTGGAAGAAGCGTGGAGTGAACTGTTTGTCCTGTGTGCTGTACAGTGGTCTATGCCGATGGAGTCTTCGTCGCTTTTCTCTGCCTCTGAGCATGCACAGAATGCACCGGCAGGTACAGCGGTAAGTGAGCGCGCAGCCACGTTAAGCAACACTACAACATTTTTATCATATTACGCTAATTTGTAGCCCTGAGAACTTACTAAGGTTGCCTCCACGCTGCTTGCTTCTTGAAATAGAATTTAATATGTCGTACGATTGTAATTTACACGGACGTTTATGGTGCTAATTGCTTAACAATTCACACGCACACGTATTTGTTGTTATTATCTATCTTATTTATCTATCTTATTGCAGCTAATTCGTGATAGACGCGTGGACGCGTGTCATAGCCGAATTTATTATATTCTGTGGTGAATCCAGCCGTAAGGGTGGGATTTCGTTCGTCTCCGCCAAGCCTCGTTCAAATATCGATATGTTTGGAATACAACAGCAATTTTGGAAGCCCAGTCTCGATGCGTGTTGCGAGATGTTGGCATGTATGGAGTCCACATAAGTAAAACATCGCGGCGACGAGTCCAAAACTTCCCTGTTAAACTACGACATAGTATATAGTACGTTCGGACAACACCAAATAGGTTATAAATCTTTAAATTCTTGCAGCTCTGCCCATTTCCCTCTGCCTCTTACTAGTCGTTCGTTTACAGGCAAGCGCGCTATCCGATCTACGAATACTGCAAGACATTACGGCCAGATTTAAGACATTCAGCGTGGATCCAGCGGAATTCGCTTGTCTTAAGGCAGTTGTTCTTTTCAAACCAGGTAAAACAAAAACTTGTACTTATATTTATTTATTTATTTTATTGGTTCATTTCATTTCATTTCAAGAGAGAGAGAGAGAGAGAGAGAGAGAGAGAGAGAGAGAGAGAGAGAGAGAGAGAGAGAGAGAGGGAGAGAGAAGGGGGCAGAGAGGGACAGAGGGATGGGGAAGAATGGAAAAAATATTGTTGGGTTTCACGTTATTGCTGTGTATCTCATCTTCGTGCGTGTAATTAACTCAGAGTGTGAGAGAGAGATCACGCGAGCGAGAGAGAGAGAGAGAGAGAGAGAGAGAGAGAGAGAGAGAGAGAGAGAGAGAGAGAGAAAGAGAATGAAGGCCAGAGAAGTAGGGATATATATCCCTTGTCTTCTTTCTTTGTCTCTCACTCGCTTCCATAATTATATATATTTACTTAATATATATTAACTAAATACTGGGACCCAAACTCAATGTTGGAGGCTGTTTGTGAAGAGATATACCAACTTTTGTTGCAAATGGATATCACACATAATGTATAGATAGGGCTATAGTGTAATTTGATGGTACTAACTAATTTTTGACCAAAAGAGAGTTAACACCTTTTGGAAATCAGCTCTTTATATATATATATATATATATATATATATAATATATATATATTAATATAAAGTAGAGAGCGAGAAGAGAAAGAGCCAAGGAAACCAGAGAAGTAGGGACATAATATATTCATATTATTTATACATAGGCATATCCCTACGTTATCTCACTCGTTTAGTTATAAACATATATATTAAAATTAATATATATATATATATATATTATATATATATATATATATATATGCGTGTGTGTGTGTGTGTGTGTGTGGTGTGTGTGTGTGTATGTGTGTGTGTGCGCGCGCGCGCGCGTGCGTGCGTGCGTGCGTGCGGTGTGTGTGTGCTGCATAGTGAGAGAAAAAGAGAGAGAGAGAGGCAAGAGATGGTGGTAATTGGACGTGGCAATTAAAATAATACAGCACAAATAAACCATGGCAGAAATAAAGAATGCCGGTTAAGCGATGTCTGCCAAAACCCACGCGCACTGCGTCGCCATGTCACGCGCGGGACCTCACAATGTCGTGCTTATTGCTAAAGCAATTACGCGATGCGGTGATGCAGACACTCTGCTGATCAGATTGCTTTTGATCACTTGTCTTTATCTGTTCGCGGTTCCGTGGTTTGATTTAATCACGCCGAAGCTGTTGGCCACATTAACGACCATTAAGACCAGCGCGGCAAAGGTAAGGCGCGTGAGGCACACGCCGCAACAGGCTACGATGACAGGCATGTGTATAGCTTGGTAATCACACGTTCATCACAATGCTGCCCGTGGATGTTCTTTCTAACCACTGATCTCTATTATACTAACTATAATAATAGTAGTAGTAGTCAGTATAATGGAGATCAGTGCTTCTAACAAAGCACCTCTTACACTGCGCATGCTCTCACTTGCCAGATAGGTGGCGCTTGCACCGCGTGAGAAGATATTTGGATCCAGATTTTAGTTGTAATGCCGCGAGGAATAAAGTATAAATCATGCCTCCCTAGCAATCAAGAAAGAATATCGTTATTAAAGAATACGATGACAAAATATATAAAGAAATTATTATTTTTTAAACGCCTAAGATTCGAACATTAATTACGCTCGTTCGCTATATCTGCTATGTCTTCTTATGAATTTCGTTCGCACAGCCTTTCAATTTGAACGCGCTATTGGTTTGGCGTATAAAGTCGTTACCACTCATAGTAGTTCGCTGTTGGGTTAGCGTGTAGTACCTGTCTAGAACGTGATAACGACATATCGGACTAACACGCCGGTAAGGAGGGAATGCAATATCTTGCATGTTGTACGATCGAATAATAGGACTATCGATTTACTCACAGTACAGATACGATGATACTTGAATGGGATAACAGGACCGCAGCATCTTGTAAAGTACAGACAGATACCTGGGTGGGAAAACGGGACTGTAGCATCGTGTATACGAAACATACATCTGGATGTGCTAGCCGGAACATAGCATCCTGTAAAGTACAGATACCCGGGTGGGGAAAACCGGCCTGTATATAGCATCCTGTACAGACGCACGAGATTCGAAGTCATTGTGATCGCACTACGGCGAGTCCGTGGCAGCGTGTTGCCGTCGTTGCCCGCGTGGAGTAGGCGTGCTATCTCTTTCAATGCCGCCTTGACAACCTGCCCACCATCAGCTCGTCGATCAATACGAGCGTGAATAGACAGAATTCACTCGACTGGCCCGCCTCGCCATCTGGCAGCGAACCGAACAGCGTTGTAGGCGGGCATCGCGCTCATCTATATCCCAATTTAAACTCTATATTTTATTATATATCTAATATTATACTTTCTGTTATTAGGCCGACTTCTAGGTGTATGATTCCGATGAATTACACATCGCCATTAGATGGCCATAGACTTAAATCAGATTTACATGGCCATACACCCGAGCAACACACGATGTGTGCTGTTTTCGAACGTTTCAGAATGAGATTTCATTATAAACGTACAACTATGTTTTTTCCTACGTACTATTCAACTGAAAATTGTAAATTTTGTATAAATACATGCATAATCTAACGCAACTTACAGTCAATTCTAAAATTGAGCCATTTTTCTTCTCTTAATTTGCGTAAAGTGAGAAACGCTCTTTATAATAAATGGCTGATAAACATTTCCTTACTGGGAAGACACATATAGTGGCGCCACCGGCGTTGTGAACAAGCGATTGTCGACAGACGCTCATGTACAACATCAAAAGATTCGAATAAATGTTGAACCGACCATTCTACATGTAGCATAAATTCTGTGTATTAAAATATTGCGTGAATTTCCTATCATATTTTAAACATATTTGCGCAATTGGTAATAATCAATTGCGTTATAAAATAGAAAATTGTTATTGATATTCTTTTGGTCACTTGGCGTATACGGAGCTTTGTGTAATGCAAAGAGAAGCGGATTATGTATTTTGACAACGATGTATGACAGGTTTAACGTTAGCTCGCGTGATGTGAAATAATTTGTTATATTGATATTAATTATTATTAACATTTTTTTAGACACGCGAGGATTGCGGGACCCACAGCAAGTCGAGAATCTACAAGATCAAGCACAGGTTATGCTCGGCCAGCACACACGGACCCACCACCCAACACATCCCGCCAGGTGACGCCATCTTATTACGTCACTTCCGTTATAGGACGAGCTTACGCATTTCTTAACGAACAATTTATGCATTTAGGCATTTAGCATACGTCCAACAGCACATACTATCGTAACGAGAGCATCACGTTCAAGCCACAGTTTATAACATGCGTGTAGGCCTATGCAGCAGAATATTTTTCTGAAAGCACAGTTTGTTCCTCCACGCTATGTGCTTTACACAGCCTAGACCAGAAAGGTTCCATCCCAACATTGTAGTCCCGTAATTGGCGATTAGCCAACAACGATCTTAACGCTCACACGCGACCATACCGATAGCTAGCCTATTAAATTCAAGGAATGATTCAATCTGCCTGTTGGATGCGTTGCCTCGTCGATGTCGCGAGCTGTGATGTCGTGTGTCGTTGCTCACAGGTTCGGTCGGCTGTTACTGGTGCTGCCCGCTTTACGGAGTGTGGCCCCGGATCGCATAGAACGCATGTTCTTCGGTAGAACGATAGGCAACACGCCGATGGAGAAGCTACTGTGTGACATGTTTAAAGGTAAGCGTACTTGCACGGAGATATTGCACAAACGCATCTTGGTCGGCCTAATTCGGCTGATCCGAAGAATTGTTCAGTATGGTCGGTCAGTGCGACTCTCTCAGTTGATCGATACAATTTACTTATATGACTATTTACAGCCATATATATATATACATATGTGTGCGTGTGTGTGTGTGTGTGTGTGTGTGTGTGTGTGTGTGTGTGTGTGTGTGTGTGTGTGTGTGTGTGTGTATGTGCGTGTGTAGGGCCTATGTGTATGTGTGCGTTCGTGCGTGCGTGCGTGTGTGTGTGAGTGCGCGCGTGTGTGTGTGCGTGCGTGCGCGTCATGCACCTTGCGGAAGCAGATGAAGCCGTTGTCGCTGACGATCATGGACGTCGGCCGCGACGCCTTCTCACGCGACGACCGCGACGACCGCGACGACCGCGATTTCTCCGACGCGTCCGACGTCGGCCGCAGCGCGCGCGCCGGCGTGCTGCCACCAGGGGCGCCTCCA